CTGTGTGAATCAGTGAAGATTAGGACTGGTCGGTCGGATGTTATTGTTGCTGCTTTGAAAATAGCCGCTGCCTCTGCAGAAAAAACAGAGCATTTTGGCGGTAGGATCAAGCTCGTTGGCGAGATCTTCCCCGCAAAGCCTATCCCAACTCCGTTGTGCGATTTGGACCCGTCCGTAAAACGGTGCGTATGCCTGAGGTACCCGGAGTTTAGCATCTCCGCGACGTAATGTCTGAGCGCCGCCAAATTGTCTCCTGCCCTAAACTGGTCCTTAATTCGGCTTTCGATGTTTAACGGTCTCGATTGCCAACTTTTTCCTCCCAGCCAGTGGCTCTTGGCTATTGAAGGGAGGTCGGTATTGGCTGTTGTACGGAGGATTCTGTTCCCCTCCTCGAGGAGATGGATCCATTTGATACCCGATATTTTAGCCAAGTAGGCAGCTGCTTTGATGGCGACTGCGGTGTCGATTCGAAACCGGAAAGGAAGTACCTCGACTTCAGCGCAGGCTGTGTCGGCCGGCGTCGAGGGCACGAGACCTGAAACTACCCGGATGTACGCGTTGTAAACCAGTGCAAGGATTTGCAACAGTTTGTCCTTGGCCATTGCGGTGAGCTCCAGACCGTAGAGTAGACGACTGTCAATAACTGCCTTCGCTACATGCAGCCGGATAGCTCGGTTGTTGGTGCGGTGCGGCATGGAGATTGTTTTGATAAGGTTTATGCGGGTCTTGCAACTATCCTTAACGCTCTGGAAGTGTTACGTGAAGGTTAAGTGTCGATCAACTAGAACGCCCAAGATGCGTATCGTTTTTTTTCAGGGGGATCGGTTGATCCTCGATCTTGATAGAAGCGCCGCCGACTCGGTGACCGGTGACCAAATTTCAGAAAACATGATCACTTTCACTTGAAGTCAGCTGGATTGTCTTATTGATTATTTGCTAAAGATTATTTATCAAAAAGCGTATGCTCTTTCTGCATTAGTTTACTTATGGCTTATGAAGTATTGACTTCAGAGAATTCTTGGATAGCAGATACAGGTTGTAGTAGTAAGTTTATTTATTTTGTATTCCTATAATAATGAAATAGCCATAATACAGGTTGGCCACTCATCCGGAAAAACCGAGAGAACCGGGAATCAACCGAAAAAAAACGGGAAATAACCAGGAATTTGATTGCAATCTCAAAATGTGTTTGTATGAATTTTCAAATTCTGTTAACTTCTTAACTGTTTGTACTTTTTTCCTTTGTTTTATGTACTTTGCTCTACCTGTGTATGTAAACTGGCTTATACTTTTTTTATAGGAGCACTGATCGACTTCAATTTTCAAAGACCTTAGCCATTTCAGCGTTTCATAACTCTTTCTGTGCTGAGGTGGTTTATCAATCAGACTTACACATAATGGGTCTGACTCGTGTTTTGTGACTCAGGCTTTCTTTTGTGAAGAGTTTTCTTAGACAGGTATCTTTTTTTTTGTTCGAATGAAATCTTTACAGCTATTCGAGACCTCAGAATTAAAAAAAAAACACACACTAATATCTGTGCCTGGAGTCTTGAACAATTTGCAATGTTTGAATTTCCTAGATAACTTCAATATCTTATACATATAAGATGTAATTCTTCATAGGGTATTTATGGAATTTTCTCAAGAATTTCCTTAGAATCAAGATGTCTTCACAGTTGCTTTCAAGATTCCACATGATTATCTTATAATTCCTTCTCGCATTCTCTTGAAATTTTCATCCATGCCAACCTTTTAAATACTATACAATTAGAGTTAATCTACAATTATCTTAGTATTCTTAATAATTCTCCACAATTATCTTTAAAAGCTACCCTTTTTTTAAAATTGACAGATGGCAAATTTTCAAATAAACTTGCTTATTTCAGACAGACCAGGAATCAATTTTGACAAATAATATCTCGAAAGTTGGACGATGAACAACAGAGGGATCTTCAAACATTAGAATTTATTTTCGAAGTATCAGTGAAAATTCATCAAATGTAACACTGCGTTCCATTTTTTTTTGTGAATTTCTACTTAAATTTGACATTTCGAAAATAAAGTACAATGTTCGAAAATCTCTCTGTTGTTGATTGTGTGATTTCCGAAAAGGTGTTTGTCAAAATTAATTCCTGGTTTGCCAAAAATAAGTACCAGAATAGCATGTTTACTTGAAAATTTTCTATCTGTCAAATTAAAATTAAAATTCACCAAATGGATCACAACTACACAGATTGAGTTGCTTCAGTACCGCGGGCGTCCATGTACGGGCGAAAGGCTTCAACCGTACGGACGCCCACGGTACTGAAGTAACTCGTCAGCTGGAGCATTTTGTCCGAAATTTCCTGACTGGCTGATCCTTCTGAGCCTCGGTAGGTAATACCAAATCCCGCACTTTCTGCGAGGAAACTGGCGTTCCCCAAGGTTCAGTGATTGCTGTCACTTTGTTGGTAGTCATGAACAGTGTCTTCGAGCGGTTACCAGCGAACATCTGCATTTTCGTGTACGCAGACGACGTTCGAATCGTAGCCACAGGTCAAACTTCCGGACGAACGAGGATTAGAGCCCAAGCAGGGGTTTCCGCCGTAGCCAGAAGGGCCGCTTCGAAAGATTTTCAGCGGTCTGCTGAAAAGAGCGCTAGGTGCCACGTGTTCCAGTACCGACATCGTGTCTGTGGACCTTCCATAATGATCGGTAATCACGCTATCCCATTGAAGAAAACTGTGAAACTGCTGGGGGTTGTCATTGATCGGTCGCTCAGTTTTGACCACCACCTTCAAGGGGTCAAGGCCAGCTGTCGCAGCAGGATCATCTTCATCCGCACAAACTCCCGTACCCACCGGTCCAACAACAGAGAAGTACGTTTCCGTGTTGCCCGGGCCATCATAGACAGCCGGCTGATGTATGGACTCGAGCTGACCTGCATCGTCACCGACAAGGCAATACAAATACTCGCTCCGGTGTACAATAGCTACACGCGCATCATCTCCGGTCTCCTATCCTCGACGCTGCGTCGAAGCCGGCATTCCCCCTTTCCGGTACCGCATCTATGCAGCCATTGCCAACAAAGCCGCTGCATTTTCAGCAAATACCGCCGGAAACGACAGAATCTGCCTCCTTAGCGAGGGGGATAGAGTTCTCCGTACAATCGCAAACGCAGAGCTCCCCCAGTGGCCAAGATTCACTGGTACGGAGATAAGAGTTGGCAATCTCCCGCACCAAACATCGACAGCCGGATAAAGGAGAAGTTCAGAGCCGGGGACAATTCCGTAGCCCTTAGGAGATCGGTAGCAGAGCTGACCGGATTGTACCCAAACTACATGCATCGTTACACGGACGGGTCAAGATCGAGAGCTGGATTCGGAATGGGAATCGCTGGTGACATTTCCTCAACGAGTAGAAGTCTGTCAAAACAATGTTCGGTGTTCTCGGCAGAAGCAGCGGCTATTCTTCATGCTGTCACGGTTTCTGTGGATCGCCCAATCCTTCCCTGTCGGACTCTCACAGTATTATTCAGGCCCTATCGTCGGAGGTCCCGGTCCACCCCTGGATCCAGGGCATCCTGAAGGTTGCGCCACCAAACAATACCTACACATGTATTCCCGGACACTGCGGGATCCCAGGGAACATCGAGGCGAACAACTTAGCCGGGTCAGGCTCATCTGGTCCTCGGTACTCGCACACGGTACCGTTGCAGGACGGGAAGAGATGGATCACTTGCACAGCGCGGACAGCGTGGGCAACGGAATGGTCCAGTGCCAGACTTCCGTTTATTAGAAAAATTAAATTAAATAAAAAAATAATAATAAATAAATAAAACAACAGATTAAATCCAACATGTGTTCGATTTGGACGTTCTGATTTTATGAGATTTTAATTATTCCAAGCATAAATATTAAAATCGACGTATCTGAGTTTACAAACAGTCACTTCGATTTTAATCAGCGATGACGTGTATCTTGATTTTTTTACATTATAAAATTTCAGATAGTTTTAAGGCTGTAAAGCTGTAGTTTCATGCAAATAAGCTAGACTAGATCATTTCCAAGTATCAAAAATGAATTATGAGGGCTAGTTTGATACATTTTTCAGAAGTATAACGAGAAGATGAATTGAATTAATAACAACTACAAGTTATGAACAATCTCAATTGAACCTTTGCAAATCATGAATTTTGTGTTAGCGCACATATTATTAAATCGTTTGAGAAAAACTCATTGTCCTCCTTTAATGTTAAGAAAAGGAATAATTGTCCTCCTTATTCTCCAAACCCCAAATGAAATGTCCTCCTTTTCAAGTTTTTGATATGGTAACCCTAGTTAAAGCAGTAAAAATAAAAATCCATGTCACATATAACAATAACGGTTATATCATACTGTTGTAGATCATGATCTAGACTAGGTTAGACTTCGATAAAACTTATAATGTTACTTAGAGTATATCACCATGTCGGAAAACCATGTCATTGCTAGGATCCAAACTAACATTTGATGAAGAAAAACCCGATGTACATGAAAATTTAGTATTCCGCCATTCCGGATACGGCGTGCGCCATAATACGTTCAAGTAAGTTGAATTTAATATGATTTAAATGTTGGTAGTGACTTTAAAGCAAACAGAAAAAGTAGGGTAACGATCAACCTTCTGAAAGGTCCATTAAAATGTTATTTTGACATATTTTTCCTGTCATGGTCAATATCAATCACAAGCAACACCTCACACTAATGATTAATGTCAACGGAGGAAATGAAGTTCAATGGAATCAAAAGCAATTTATGATCAAATATGTTACGAAAGTTTAGGTTCCGGGAATCGAGAATCCCGAAACGTCTCATTGTCGGACGCTGTGAAACTAATGTTGGCAGACGAATCTGTTGTAGCAACCACTTCACTAAATGAATAAATAATTTTGTCATTTCTCAGCAGTATATAATTATTAAAATAGTATGCAAGAATGTCATACCATAACCTTCCTGGAAAGAAAAACAAACGATCGTCACCTTCAATTCACTTTATTTATCTTAAAATTATAAAGTTCTTCCTTATCTATTTACTTCAACTTCATGCATCTTGCATAAAACACAAAAACCTTCCATCCAGACAAGTCTATCCGATTACATGAGACGCTCTCTCCTCTCACTCATTTCACAAAAATGTAGACGTCGTATGTGCAACCAGTCCTTCATTTTCCAACCGTGCCAACATCGTTCGGTAGATATCCGGGGAGAACGGAAGCATTACACCGCGTTGTTGAATTTCACCTAAAATGTTAAGAGCATTGTGATTGAAAAACCCGCTAGTCGCTATGCTGCAGACTAAACCATTCTTACCATCCAAGATCATTTTCACTGCAATCGCCGCTGGGAATCCAACCGTGACTGCCATTGCTGAGTGTCCACCATTAAGCGATGGTTGACCATAGACTACGAAGTTAATTCCCCGATGTTCCCGTCGGCCATCGTTCCAGCGAATGCCAACATCATGCCTCAGGACCACCAAGTCACGTTCACTTGGACCTGTTCCATAGATTATTTGCGATAGTTAGCTCATGAAAAAGGATATGGATTAACCGATACTAACCAAAAGCTAGCTTCCCCGACAGATAGTGACTCAGCGTATCCAGTGGAGTTCCCATTTTGACCACCTTGTTGTCTTCCAGCAGTCCCAGCTGCTCGATTCCATCCATATTTCCTACCCGCTCAGCCAATCTATGTTTCAAGTTCTCATAGAACATATCGGCATCTTGCAATCCAAGGAAGTTAATGATCAGCTGCCGCCAGGTGATTTCCGGTCCATGTGGGTGTAGCATCGGATGTGGGTTAGGATCGATCAGCCCCAGCAGCTGCATTGGTTTAATACTATCGGAGAAACCCTTGTACCGAATGGTTCCTCGGATAAGCGTGTGTACACCGGACAGGCCATACAGGTCTTGGTACTTGGTAGAATCTCGATTGGGGAAACCTTCCAGCGCGAATCCAGGCAAGAAGTCCAGATCGCGAGGTGCAGTCATCAGATCACCACCTCCGGAGATTTCCACAACCTGTCCCTTACTCAGGTATTTAGCGGCTGATAGTGTGTTCAGCAGAACACCTCGAGGAGACCACGAGAACTTGTACCGCAGAGGGTTAGCTGAATGTTCTGGAGCGGGGAGTCCACCACAGAAGCTCACAAACGACTCGACGAGGCCACCTTTTTCTTGAACTTCGTGGATGCATTCCAGAGCCAGCATGTGATCGATGCCGGGATCCAAACCAACCTCGTTCATTAGCGTCACACCAGCTTCCTTAGCGCAGTTATCTAGCGCTTTGATTTCATCGCTCAAATAGCTAGCCGTCACCAGGTGGGTCTTTCCGGCGATGCAATGTTTCGCAATTAGTCCGTGCAAGGAATAAGGCAGTAGTGAAACTACGACGTCACTTTCCTCGCATAGATTCTGTAGATTGGCACTTTCGTCTTCGACATTGATGTACACCGATTCGATTCCCTGGTAGCGTTGAGCTAACCGATCCGCTTCCTCCTTGATTTGGGATCCCACCTTAATACTGACGTTCGATTCACGATGCAGGTATTCTACCAGAGGCGCTGAGACGAAGCCAGCCCCAAGGACCAGAACTCGTTTCTTACCGATAGACGATCCTTCCGTCTTGTGTCGTGATCGGAAGTTGGCTTCACGGAGCTCGTTAATGTATTCGTAGCCGGGAGTTAGCTTTCCATTACTGCAGATGATGGCTCCCTCCACGGGTTGGCAGAAGTTGTGTTCTTCCAAGGGCTTTGCAGCATCGCTTTGAAGGATATCCAGGGCGTATGGATGGAGCAATTCGCCGAAGAAGTCGGTAGATTCTCTTGGCAGTTGTGTGGGCATATTGTCTATCGAGCAAACCAGCACTCCTGGCCCTTTGAAACTCTTCTGGTCCTTGTTACGATCGGCATCGTACAAGCAGAATGGCGTGTCGATGGTAGTGCATTCGTTCATAAATTCGATGGAACCGCCCGGATCAGCGGAGATATCACAGATGGCCAGCATGCGGTGAGGTAGTGCTGGAGCTCCTCGGCTCGTCGGTAGCCAAGGAGTGTTTGCCGGTCTAAGCAGGTTTTTGGCATCCGGGATGGTGATGAGCTTTGGTGCTCCCACAGCCCAGTAGATGCCATTTACGATTACCGAAGCGTATGGTGCGATGTTTTTGTTGAAGGTCGAAATGTATCGCTCTGGATACTGATCGTATTCCACGGGATCAAATCTACCACCCTCGCGCCGTTCCAGGTGATCGGCTCGACTCACTTCGCAGCCATACAGTTTGTTCTGGCTGCCATGCTCTGCTACCTTACGTAAGCTCTCCGGTGGAACGAATTCTACGGGCAGCTCTTGGAAGACTTCTTGTGCTCCTTGGGAAACATTTCCAGATCCAGTGAAGATGAAGGTTAGCGGTCCAATCGATTTGGGCATCATGCCCAGGGATATCTCGTACCCGCAGTCACGGACCGCTTGGCGAGCCATGGATGAATTCCGGTAGTTGTGAGCTGGGCCCACGTGCTGAAGGGGAGAGAGGTTTTATGAGATTGGATTTTTGTTAATATCTAACGTTTGAAAAGTTACCATAAAAGGCGTGTGATGACCCAGAGCCAGTAATCGCAGGCCAAGTCCATGCAGGATGTTGATCATTCCGGCTACTCCAGCGTACTTGCCGAATGCCACCAATCGCTGCCCGTTCCGGTCCATCAGTTTCTCGTAGTCCACGAGGCGGATGTTCTTCTCCAAACAGGCATCCAGCAGGGGCATGTTGGATTCCTGGGCCTTGATGGTATGCGAGAAGAAGCAGTAGGTTTTCTGCGGAATGAGTGCATCCACGGGGACCTGCTTAACGCCGAAGATAATCGACGCCTCGCTGATGTCCTCCTGAACCGTAGCGCCAGCATTGAGATAGGCCTGCAATCATAAATGCGAAATCATCGTCAATCGGAGGGTATGCTATGCTAAGTGTTATCCACAACACCAAATACATCTAATCTATTCATTGCACAGCTCCAGCCCTTCCTACACTCCCGATCATAAGTTTGGGGTCACCCTTTAAAAAAACAGGTAAATGTTTTTTGCTCATATATCTGCCATTTTACGACCGATTTCCGATCTTTTTATGTCTTCCGAAAGGTAATGACTGAGATACAAGTAAAAGACATTTACCTGTTTTTTAAAGGGTGGTCCCAAACTTATGGTCGTGAGTGTATCTGAGTCGTTCAATTACCTATAAATGAGTGTCAGACACTGCGACCTTCAAATCAGTCTTCTCTGACTTGACTCTGCAATCACTCCCTAACAGGACAGGTTGCGCATATTGTTGCGAGTTAGCCACACAGCGAAAGCCACGTGAGTTACAACGCTTGAAAATTTTCAAACACCAAGAGAAAGCAAAACACTTCAACACATATTCTGAATTAGCTCGACTCGAGAGATTCTTCTCTTATCGCGCAATTTTGTTTTCGGTATAGAGCACAAGTATCGTCGCCGTCAATGTCTCTATGAAATCCATCCTACTTAGGCTACAACCATTCATCTGTCTATGTACAAAATGGTGATTGGTCTTATCTTATTTTTTACGTGGCTTTGCTTTACCTCCATCAGAAAATGGGCCTGGTCTGGTTGTACGACTGTTGACAAGCGCCATGAAGTAGCTTTGATAAGAAAACGTTTCGATATCGTGCCAAATTGTGACTGAGGCAATATGGATTATCTTGAGTATGTAGGTAACTAACTGCTTGTAAGGAAAGTAGATAATCCCAGGCCAATATAGACAGGAATGTAATCGAATGGCGATAATCACTAATAATTGTTTTATCGATTAATGTGGTTGTTATCGCCAATTGGATGCTGAAACAACCAACCAACAACTGAAATTATGAAACTATTTCTTTTGTTCCGCGTGAAAGATGCCAAGTAGTTAAAAGTTCAACTTTCAAAGAAAACCATGCTGGACGTTTTCTTGCTCAATCTCCTGGGCAAAGGCTGTGTTTTCCCCAAGGCTGAGCTCCTAAGTCAATACTACGTGGAAGAGTTCATGCAACATTTAAAGCCAGGTGTTTAGTTGCAGTTGAGATATGATATTTAAAATGGGGTTCTGGGTTCAATCCCAGCCAAAGTCGGTGCCATTTCGGCGATCATCGTAAATTTTCACTTTCTGTTTGAAGTAAATTCTGTATTCTGAGCTCGTTTGGACGTTTTAAAAATAAATTTGTTGATTTTAAGTGGTAATTTAGGCAATTTTGGATGTCTTTTTAAAACTAATAAGCCTTTTTTTAAATCCATACCGGCATTTTTAAAGCCATTTCGCCGTTTAATGGCAATTTTGAAGCTATATAATGTTAAAAGCGGTTTTGGTATTTAAAGACCATTTTACCAAATATTATAAATTTATAATATGTTCCACTTCCCGAATTCCCATTTGCTTTTGAAAAGTCGCAACAGTAATACCATCCGGTGGAAACTAACGATTTTAAATTGGCTCCCTACTTGACTAGCCTATTTGTCCCAAGCAAATCGATTGTCGTACCCCATTCTAGCAGAAATTCTAGTACTACACAATGTTTGTTTTGATTCGCTATGAAAGTTTGACAGATAAAATGAGGGGTTCGTGGAGTTTCCTATATTTTGAGGGGCGCATCGATTAGCTTCCCTAATAAAAATGTTATGGTTAATTTGGTTAACGACGTGTTCGGAGTATCATCCGAACCATTTGTGGTATTGTTCAATCATTTTGGTTATCGTTCGTTTATGGTTATTTTTTATTAGGGTTGGGACCGAAAATAGTATTAGATGGTGCCTAAGCGCCTACCTTGACGTCATGACATTATACCATAGAGGTAACTCTAAGACAAGAAGGTCCCGGAAAAACGTGCTCCACTTTTTGGCTCAGCTCTGGTACTATCTTCAGTCCCAAGCTAGTCGAATCACCCCTCGAAACATAGGAAAATCCAATAACCCCTCATTTTATCTGTCAAACTGTCATAGCGAATCAAAACAAACATTGTGTAGTAGTAGAATTTCGACTACAATGGGGTACGTTAAACGTTTGCTAGTCAAGTAGTGAGCCAATTTAAAATCGTTAGTTTCGTATTGATTGTTGATTATACTACGTTCAGACTATAGTTGATATCACGTAATATATGATACCAACAAAGCCTATATGTATTACGTGATATCAGCCAAACAAATAAAAGAAAGGCAGATTATATCTGCCGTCCCTCTTTACATACCAGTTTGGCAATTGACAGGAAGCAAACTGTCAACACGCTGAGAATCGTTAACCCAAATTAGGGTAATCCAGGGTACTGCGGACTCACTCAATGTGCTTGTCACTTGAGAGCCAGTCAGAACTGTTAAACGGGAGCCAAACATTCAGAAGCAACAAACTCAGTTACTGTTCTTACCTCTCGTCAAGCATTGCAATCTCATAAAAATGATTCATACTTTTTCATAACACATTCTCAGCATAAGCTCAAAGACAAAAACCAACAGGCTCAATGTTAAAAGTATAAAAACCAGCATAGTTTTTATGACTCAGCTGATTTTTCAATTGCAGTAAAACATACTTTGGCGAAACATATATGTAAACAAACTTTGATAGAGTCATGGGGGCTCGAGCACTCCTGGCTCAGAGCTTTTGGTGGGAATCTACTGAGAAAAAACAAAAACAAAAATTAAACTTGAGCAAATTTAAAGCAGTTTTCCATTGGCTTGCAAAATGAAATCGATTTACTCCACAGTACTCAGTGATAATCGATTAATCGATTTACACACTCAAAATAATTGTCAGCTACGTGAAAACATATGTGAATTTTTTCCATCGCACTTTTCACGTAACACTTACGTGATTTTCATGTAGCGAAGAACGCATCCATTCCCACCCTATCCACTGGAGTTTCACGTAAATATGACGTTATTTTTTAGTATTATTTACGAAATCTTTCAATAAATTTTAAATGAAATAATGATATAATTTATGGTAAAATCTAATAAAAAGTAATAACATTTTTGATGAATTTAGTCTTCTTCATAAGAATTACTGTGATTTAATGTACTATATGAATATTACGCAATTAATGAAAGTTTTCAGCTGACAAACGAGGTAGAAGCATATGCATCGCTATCAGAGCTGTTACGAACATAGGTAAAGGATGAAAACCAATGTTTAACTAATTCGTGGTGAAGGAGGTTTTCTCCACAACGAAAATTTTTTTGTATCCATAATGGAATGGCTTATTATGGCTATTAAGGATGGAATTGTAGATAATCAAATTATAAATCTAATTGAAAGCACTTACATGTCACACTATTCTTAAATGTTTGTCCTCTGAGTGCCGTATGTTTTATAACTAATTTTCAAACGAAAATCATCATGTATTTGCATGACAGTCATATGGATGTTCATCATCTGACAACGAATTCAACCATAAGAAAATCATCCGAAATTCGAATGCATATTGTTAAAGGGCTCGAGCAATGCAATAATCATTCGAAGTATTGCGGATGTTTTGGTTCAGTGTATATCATCTGATAGAGCAAACTTTGTCTCAGATGCTGATGTCGGTTTGCCAGACCCAACAAACACTGTAAACAGAATAAGAGCTTATTCAGGCAAAACTCTGCTTCTTCAGCTTAAAAATGGCTTGTTTAGCCTTTAATCAGCACAAATTGTTTGTTGGGGAATGAGTCTATATTCACGAGAAACCGACGTTTAAAGTAATTGTTTAAATTTCTTTTCACATGTTGCTCTAGTTACTAGCTTCCTGCATAATCATCAAAACAAAAACGATAAAGATGAGTGCAAAGAACAAATGATACTGCTCTTGCTGAGTGACGGGTTGCGACAGAATTTTGCCCAGGCATCAACTTCCCAAACAAGTACACAGTTAAATCAACAATCAATACGAAACTATCGATTTTAAGTTGGCTCACTACTTGATTAGCCTATTGGTCCCAAGCAAATCGATTAACGTACCCCATTCTAGTTGAAATTCTAAAACTACACAATGTTTGTTTTGATTTGCCATGAAAGTTTGACAGATAAAATAAGGGGTTCGTGGAGTTTCCTATGTTTCGAGGGGTGCATCGATTAGCTTGGGATCGAAAATAGTACCAGAGCTGAGCCAAAAACTTGAGCACTTTTCTTCAAGACCTACTAGTCTTAGAGTTACCTCTATGGTTAAATTGCATCACTTTCAAAAACTTGTAACATTTTGGCCTTTGGGTTAATTTTAATTAAATGTTGTGTGAAATGACCTCATCATGTATTGTTTACACTGCGTAAGTTTCATTGTAAAAATTTCTAGTAGTTTTAAAAGTTGAGTCGAGTCTGGAATCCAACAATGCACAGTGGTCCAGAATGCAGATTTAGGTGGAATGATACGTTTTGAGCCTGAAACTGAAACTTTAGACTAAAAGTCTCTTCTACAAAGTTATTCCTTATAGTTAGGCCCTCATTTTTACGACAATGAATTCTAGGGTGGTTCCTATTATCATTAAAAAAATACTAACTTTTTTGTTTGAATAAATTAAGGTATACATTCTTTAGCAAAGTTATAGCTGAGCAAATTTCAAGCAACTTTGTTGAAAATAACTTTTTTGTATCTCTTAAATTGGCCGATTTAGAGCTATTTTCTTGAATTGAGTTAGGGTGGCTCTTAAAAAAAACAGTTTTTTGCTCTAGATTTCTTTTTTCGAATTTCTCAGCAAAGATGTCTTGAAATAACTTTTAGATCTTAAGAAGGCGCAAATTTTTCTCACATTTTCTCATTGATGTGTATTGTGTACATGCTGTCAAACTCGAAGTCGTGTTTTTCGATTCAACGAAAATGGAGGTGAACCAACGCGAGTTGAGAGAACAAATTCTTTCCAAACACCTGGAATTTCCTGACCTGTCGCACCGGCAGTTGGGAAAAATGTTGAACATTCACCATTCAACCGTCTCCAGAGTGTTGAAGCGGTTCCAGGAGCGGTTGACGTTGGACCACGGCAAAGGAGCTGGAAGAAAACCGGGACCGGAGAACAAAAAGACGGAGGGAAAGGTGAAGCGGATGATTAAAGCAAATCCCAACGTCTCAAGCCGTGATTTGGCTAAAAAGATCGGCATGTCGCAGAGCTACGTCCAGAATGCAAAGAAGAGAGCTGGACTACATACATACAAGGTACAGAACTTCCCAAACCGCGATGAGCGGCAACAATCGACGGCTAAAACTCGGGCACGGAAGCTCTACGAGAAGATGCTGATAAAATATGGCTGCTGTGTGATGGACGACAAAACGTATATAAAAGCCGATTTTAAGCAAATTCCGGGGTTGGAGTTTTTCACCGGCAAGAGCAAGTTCGATGTGGACAACAAATTTAAGAAGAAGAAAATGTCGAAGTTCGCCTCCAAATATCTCATTTGGCAGGCCATCTGCTCTTGCGGACTGAGGAGTGAGTCTTTCGTGACGAGATCTACAAATCTGAGTGCCTCGAGAAGCGCCTTTTGCCGTTCTTGCAGCAGCACGACGAAGCTCCGCTATTTTGGCCAGATTTGGCATCATGCCACTATTCTAAAAGTGTCCTGGAGTGGTATGAGGCCAATTCTGTCCATTTTGTTCCAAAGGACATGAATCCGCCAAACTGTCCGGAGCTGCGCCCGGTGGAGCAGTACTGGGCAATAATGAAGCGGGAACTTCGGAAGAGCAAGAAGACAGTCAAAGACGAGAAGGACATGTTAAGAAAATGGAAAAAAACGGAGAAACTGGTACCGGATGACACTGTAAAGACTTTGATGGAGGGCATCAAGCGAAAATGCGTTCAATTTTACACTCAAGGCTCCATCGATTAACTTTTCTTTTGATTTTTGAAGTAAATATATGTATAAAACTACCCTAAAATTTTGGTTTGATTCTAAACATTATAAGAAAATTGGCATGACATTTTCGGTGTCGCAATAATTTCGTGTTCGCCCTTTAATAAAAAAGATATACCCAAATATAGTAAAAAATATGACTAAATTCAAATTTTGTCATATTATTGAGAATAACATACGCCCTTTCAAATGCCGTAAAAAACTTTTTTTTTGTTTGCCCCTACCAGGGATATGAACATTTGAAAAGTGCATATTTTTAGTATAAAAACGTCAATAACTCTTGATCGGCGAAAGATATTGACAAGCTTTGTGCAGCAAAAACTTGCGCCTTCTGATCTAAAAGTTATCTGAAGACACCTTTGCTGAGAAATTTGAAATAAGAAAACTAGAGCAAAAAAACTGTTTTTTCAAGAGCCACCCTAACTCAATTCAAGAAAATAGCTCTAAATCGGCCAATTTAAGAGATACAAAAAAGTTGTTCCGACAAAGTTGCTTGAAATTTGCTCAGCTATAACTTTTCTGAAAAATGTATACCTTAATTTATTCAAACAAAAAAGTTAGATTTTTGATTTTAATGATAATAGGAACCACCCTAGAATTCATTGTCATAAAAATGAGGGCCTAACTATAAGGAACAGCTTTGTAGAAGAGGCTTTTAGTCTAAAGTTTCAATTTCAGGCTCAAAACATATCATTCCACCTAAATCTGCATTCTGGACCACTGTGCAATGTACTGTTTCTCGTGGTTTAAAATGTTTTGAAGAACGTTTAACTGTCGATCGGAAGCAAGCGTGGATGACGCAAGATCTTCGATCGTTGAAAAGAACTAAGAAGGCTGCTCTCAGAAGATTTACTAAATTCCGCACACTTCCACTGAAATGCTACTATGTCAAACTCAACCACAATTATAAGCGGTTAAGTCGTCTCTGTTTTCAACGCTATCAAAGGAGGATTCAACGGCGGCTAAAATCACACCCGAAATCCTTCTGGAACTTCGCAAATGAGGAACGCAGGGAAGTCGGCTTACATTCTTCCATAATTTTTAATGGTGAAACTGCTGGCAATCAACAAGACATTTGCAACCTGTTTCAGCCAAATTTGCTATTGTGTTTGAAGACGAGGAACTCTCCGCTAATCTCTTTACTTCCGCGGTCAGTAATGTTCGTTCGGTCAACCAAACGCTTAGCGTTGTCGTCGCCACTACAGATACGATTTCTAGAGCAGCATCTAAACTTAAGACTTCAGCTAAGGCTGGACCCGATGATGTTCCGTCGATTATCTTATCTTATCTTATCTCAACCACGAAATTGCGATCGCTAAGTTTGATAGGCTAGGGATCGGTAGAAATCCTTTGAGATGGTTTCGTTCATACCTCACGGAGCGCCAACTGACACTAACTTTTTGTACTTGTTGCTCAGCAACTTCTGCGCAAAGTTCGGTAAACCTCAGGGTAGCCATCTGGGACCATTGGTCCTTCTCCGACGACGTTCACCATGTTATCCCAGGGCCATTATCGTTTGCAGACGATCTGAAAGTTTTCTGCGCATCCGCTCACTCGTCGACTGCCGTTCTCTCCAAAATCAGATTGACATCTTTGCTGACTGGTGTAGTCTAAACCAACTGGTAGTCAACCCAGCTAAGTGAACAATCATCGAGTCAATTTCGTGCCGAAGGATCTCAATCCCTCAAACCTCAAACACACCGGAGTTCCGGCCTATCGAAAGATACCGGGCTCAGTGGCGTCCCGTAACCTCACTTTTTACCTGTGCACCAACTTTCAAAACCAGATATCTCACGTAATATTTGAAAAGGGCCTATCCTCGTTGATCGATTCTCTTCATCGACTTTCTCTTTGGTTTACCACGGCAATATAACGAATTTCTCGTTAGGCTCGCAGCACAGTTCGACAGAATATGATGTTGATGTTTGCTTGCGCATGAAATAATACACTGAATGGGATATTCATTTGCAGTCAGTTTATTCGCGAAAGAGAAAATCGATTAAGAGAATCGATCAACAACGATAGCAACAATCAATACGAAACTATCGATTTTGAATTGGCTCACTACTTGCCTAGCCTACTGGTCCCAAGCAAACGGTCAACGTATCCCATTCTAGTTAAAATTCTAGTACTACGCAATGTTTGTTTTGATTCGCTATGAAAGTTTGACAGATAAAATGAGGGGTTATTGGTTTTTCCTATGTTTCGAGGAGTGAATCGATTAGCTTGGGACCGAAGAGAGTACCAGAGCTGAGCCAAAAAGTTGAGCACGTTATTTCGGGACCTTCTAGTCTTAGAGTTACCTCTATGATGATAGGCCCTTTTCTCGTGATGCGCGAGATTTAATGCCATATTCATACTCGAATCGATTGAAAAATACATTTAATCTTTTAGTTTACTCGATATCTATCCATTGTAAGCAATATTTTGATAGTTGTTTATGTTTTGAGAGTTTGTGCACAGGTACATTGAGGTAATGGAAACGCCACTGACTGGGCTATAATGAAGCACGAACTCCGTAAGCATCCTAAAGTTGTCACTACGGAGCAAGAAATGTTGAAATCATGGTTGAAAGTAGAAAAAATGTCGATTCAACCATTGTTCAAAACCTTATGGGTGGAATTAAGAAGAAAGTTCGGGCATATGGATTTGGTGAAGAAATAGAGTGAAATAAATATTCTGTCAGTAAGCATTCCACTTGCTTTGCTTGAAACACAGGTTTTTTTTTAAGATTCTTAAACTAACAAAAAATTTCAATAAGCTTAAAATTTATTTTGATACTGACTTAGCGAACGCGACTTCCCTCTGTATGCCCTCTGTATATTCCAATGAGCTACATAGCAATGGAATGAATTTCAAGGAAAATTTGCTACGAAGAAACTCTCTGAATACGTCTCATTGGCTAGTCACCCTTGCGGTGCCCATTTTCGCCACCCCTTCACTACGTCTCTGCGCAAATCTCGTACAAATTGGCACCGTGAACGTAGATTATTCCGCACACTCGACAATCGTTTTGATATTATTCGTTTAATTTGCAAAAAAACAAATATCCGGTACTAGCTACTCAACTGCGTATGTCAAGCACATAGGTGTACCGTACAAGTGAGATTCTGTTATCTTTTCGCAGCTCATAGTAAACGCCTTTGAATCATTCATCCCTGGTAAGGTTTTATACAAGGCCATCAACAATAAAGCGCAAAAATTTAAATAAAGTAACGGATCGACAGGAACTACTTCGTAAACCTAGCCAGTGCAGGATTCGGGTTGAACATGATTTGGATATCCAATATCACATTTCCTTCCTTAGAAACTCGCCTTACTTCATCAGAATCTGTTTGTTAAGATTGTAAAATTGCTCAGCGACGATTTCCAACAGGGGAAATCGAAACCAATTTCAGACATTAAACTCTGCATGTACATAACTCCAGTGTCACTTAACGCTTATCACTTCTTCTACGCGATCCTGAATCCTGTTTAACACTTGCATAAGCGCGAACAGGTTATGCAAGGTGTACCAACGGCCTTGGAGAGAGCAGACAATTTGCAACCACGTGAACTCGCTCACGCATTAAGGTACAAATTCAAATGTGGGTTTTTAATTCAAATCTAATCTGAAGTTCTGTGTATAAAAAAGTGTTTACTGTTTTCCGCTTGACAACAAAATTTCGGGTTTGATCGATAAAACTGCTCTTGATTATTTTGAAATGATCCGGGTACTTATGCACCTTAAGCGACCATTGCTGCTTGAGATTAATTTCCCATAAATAGTTCCAATCCTAGCATGTTCGTAGTATGATCATCATATTGGTATTACATAAAACAACAACAAACAATGTTGTTGGCCAATGATGAAACACATTTTTGGCCACCAGCAACGGAATGGAAGATGAAAACATATTATTCTCCCTTATCACCGTGTTGTAAGTGAACTGATATGAATAGCTCTACACTTATCAACGGGCAGATCCCCCGCGAGTTGAGCGGAAAACAACCACATGATACATAAACTTACCTGCATCGGATAGGCGCGACGATTGGACGGTTGAACTATCACCTTAACGCCCTGTTTGATTAGCTTCTTGACGCCAGCTGGACTGAAGGAGGCTCGCCGTTCCCATACTGATTGGTCTTCGCGACGAATCGCAATTACTGTGCCGGTCTGTGAAATACGTAAATCCTGTTAAATCGCGAGGGATTGTTGATTAAAAAATCAAATGATCAATATTGTCGGTCAAGTTGGACACCGGAAAATCCCACACAGGACATTCGATTTTACTCTCGTTCTGTACGTTAAACTTAACGTCGGATATAGTGCGCATTATTGTGCGAATACAGCGCACTATGTGTAACGTAAAATCGATTATCGCGTGTGGGGTTTTCCGGTTTTCAACTGTACCGACAATATTTGCAAACACTCTGCCTGCGTGGCTTGCAGTGCTACACTTTTAAAATTTTCTTTGTTTTTATTTGCCAAAAACAAAACTAGCCCTACCACTACAACCACTGATTTCAGGGTGAAGAATGCCTAAATTTTCCACTCACATGTTTGGATCGGGAGAACACCCGCAGTGATAAGCTATCACGGCACTTCAAAATTCGGAACATCTTAACGGTTCAAGTGCTACAGCACAACTGACTGGAAATGTGCACACAAGTTTTACAAGATCCTAGCTCCGGGAGAAGGAGGGAACTGGTTTCGTTAGAAGAGTGTGAGCGTTGCTATCAGTGCCTAGTGCCCGCTGCAGGATCGAAGATTTCCGATCGTACGGTTCGAGTTCTGCAATCTCCTTCTCCTTCTCCTTCTCGTCCTCGAAATTGCCCACAGCACGAGATAAGACGACACTAGCCATGCAACGAGCTTCGAGAGCATGATGGCAAAACTGTGCATTCGAACTTTTCTTATCTGGCTGGATGACGTGCTGCTTTTGTGCGTTGCACATTTTTCGAGGGCTCGTTCAGAGTGGATGTCCTTGATTGCAAGAGGATTGTTCAGTTTGGTTTTTAAGGAAAATATTGGTCACAGTTCGCTGTAGTAATTTATGTCGACACTATGTAGGGTAAAGCTCCTATAGTTACGGTAAGTTGGAAGCGTATGGGGACTCCATACACATAGGAACCAGATGCTTCTAACATACCGCAACTATAGGAGCGTTTACCCTACACATATTTAATTTTTCGGATGTACTTTGAAATTTTTAGAATTTTGTCTCTTGGTTAATATCAGTATGATCAAGACTTATCTATCGGTATTGGTTTGGGCTGAAATTTTGCTCATTTATGTCTAAAGTGTCTGCAAAACCAAAAGGAGCTTGTGCTATCATGTGATGATGGTACCGTTCCACTGCACACCTACTCTCCTAATCGCTCCTACGAGAGCAATGTTGAAAAGTTACTTCGATAGTTTGCTTTACTTTCAACACCACCAGCAGGAATAGATCGCTCTTTTGAAGCTTTTGCATTACTTTTTATTATCGAATGCTAATGTAATATCCAGTTGAATTTTCAGCTAACCCATCGTAAAATAGATAGTTTAATCACAGACAAACAGACATAACACCTTAAATATGACTCACTGTAAAACATCGTCGCTAAAACATTACCGCCATCTGTTGAGTATACTGTGGTGGGCAGTACGCTGAGCAGATAGTGGTAGTTATAGTCGCTATATTCATAGTCTGGCGGATAAAATCTCGGGAACCAATTGAGCTGTCAAATAGCGGAACCAATCGAGCAAATCACGACCAACAACAGAAAACAGCACATCAGCTATTGCGAACAAAACTTCGTAAACCGTTTTCTCGTGATTCAAGGCTCGCCTACGCAAACTAACACTATCTTTGGGTAGGGTAAAGATTCCCCTATCCGATGATGCCGGAAATTTGCGTTCGATTGTCAAGGAAAGAATAATCAACGTTTGATTTATAAAAGTTGATAGGACCTTTTCAATTGTTGGTCTACAATATATTGAATTGGTTTCGCTTTTTGATAGATCGAAATTCTATCCGCCAGACTATGAATATAGCGACTATAGTGGTAGTGTGTAAACGTCAAACGCATGGGAATTGACTATGCGCGCTACCAACTACGATACTTTTAAATTGACCGTTAAATTCTTGTTCTATGAACAACTTACGAAAGTTATGTCTGTTTTTCTGTGGTTTAACGCTATTAATCTCCCTATCAAAAATGCAAAATTTCCACACCGCAGCGCCACACTCTATTTTTAACTGAAGGTGGTGCGAGAATTTTGAATTTTGATAAGTGGCCATGCTTTAATTATGTCACGCTAAAATGAGGAAATGTATTGCTTGTTACAAACTCTAACCTAACACCCTCTTAGAGTGTGACACAATATATGCATCAACTCTAGGGAGATCTACCAGCGTATCACCTTTTCGTGGTGCGTTACTTTTGTAAGATCTACCTCCCAACCCTAATACTGACAACTTCAAACTAGAGGAACAGGATTTTTTCAGTAATCAAAGGAACACATTTTAGTTAATGCCTTGTTAATAGTGACATGACCCGGAGAAGTAGTGACAGGGTGGCCAGCGAACCGGGAAAACCGGGAATACCGGGAAATATCCGGGAATTTGAAAAGTAACCGGGAGAACCGGGAAAAATAAATTAACCATACCATAGGAACAAATTTTTACACCAGCATTTCAGAATAAACCATTAAAACCGAGTAATCCTTTACCAAATGAATTTCTTGCTCTATTTGCTGTATAATTTTCTTCAGTTTCCCGTCTTGTTGGTTTTAGAATTTAATCACTCAGCAATATTGCAAATTGATTTTTGTCGTTTCAATTTCAGATGTAAAGTGCTTGGTCCTTAAAAGAAAATATTGAAGATGCTGGACATTGGAAAGAAAAATTTGTAAAAATCGAAACTGAATTATTCTTTTGCAGGGTTTTAATTTTTCGTTGTTCTAAATTCTCACGATATGAGTTCCAGAATTAACTTGGAACTCTGCCCTAAATTATCTTGAAATTGTTCTGAAGTAAGCCAGAAAACACCCCGCTTAATAATTACCAGTGAATTCTTTTTGAAATTTTCTTGCAACTCTTTCTAACAATTTAATTGGAATCCTTCTTAAAATACGCCTTTTTAATAGAAACTAAACGATCGATTCAACGTCTGGTGGTAAATAGGAGAACGTCAAAAAGAGTGTTGTGAGCAGACATGTTTGTCGTGAGACATAGGAAGTGGATAACTTTTTTACTTTTCCTGATAAATTTATTCATCTGAGATGCTCCAAAACTTGATTTACAGTTGAAAAATTTAATTCTGTATCGTTTTTGCAAGGATCCTGCTAGTTTCCAGGAATATTTTTGATGAGAAAAATTGAAAATTATAAAGGTGCCTTAGCGGTTATTATATTCTGGATTTCTTGTATGTGAATAGTTCAAGTGCAAAACAGTTCAGATCTGTGAAAAATCGTAAAATATGGCAAATACTGATGGAAATTGGCAAGATTTTGAATGAAAAATGCTCTAATTTGCGTTGTGAAAAATCCTGATTCTGATGTAAACAAATGGTTTGGCTGACGTTGGTGCATTAAAAAGGCCTATTCTCTTGAGCCTGTCTGGAGATTTCGATTCCTTTGAAAATCTTTTAACTCTATTCAAAACAGCAGAAATCTTTCTAAATTTTATTTAGAAACCCTTGGGAGTATTTTAAAAAATTGCTTTCTAAATTATCAGCAATTTTTTGCAATCAATTTTGTTGGAGTTCTGTGATGAATCTTTCGCACTAGGGTTGAAATTATTACCAGAACACTCTTAGAACTCTGTTTCTTGTTGAATTCTGATCATAGTTCTCTTGGAATACTTCTTAAAATTCATTTGTCATTTTCCTCACAATCCCCATACTAATCTCTTCAGAACCACGTAGGAATTTTCCGCAAAGTTTTGTTTTTCACAACTCCTTTTTAAATCTTCTAAAATTACCTAATAGTTTAATTTAGAACATGCATTCTTCTCCACAGAAATCCCTCCAAATTCATCTAAAAATTGCTAAGGACTTCATGTCAGAATAATTCTGGTATTCTGCTCAGAGCTTCTCATTCGAAAGCTGTGTGGGAATCCTTCTCAATATTTGTTTGAAATCAACACTTTGAATTCTTTCAAATTTTACTAAAAACTCCAGGGTTTGTCCACTAGATTCTATAGATTGTTCTGTAATTTGTTTTAACCCTTAAAATGCCCCTTCAAATCTGTGATATTGAATTTTTTTCAAAATCTAACATTTTAATTATTTTTCTCCAAATCTTGCATCACGAGAGTTCTTATTAATCACAGATTTTGAAAAAAAAAAGTTCTAGTTTCAGACTCTACACAAATTTAACAGCCCCACAATCTTGTGAATCTTCTAAATCACATTTATCTCTTCAGTAAATTCCTTTCAGCACGTTCTTAAAGAAGAGATGCTTTTGGACCAAGTGAAGCTTATAAATTGCTCAGCACTTATCTACTATAGGTAAAAGTGGTTGTTGCTAATATTTCTAAATGAAATCGGCGCAATGTGCGTATCAAATGGAGTTGTGCCTAATCGTATTTTATAAAATGCTATGTGCACGTCCGGGAAGAATAGTTGTTTCATAAATTTGTTCACTATACAATACACCTTAAAACTATAGTTAAAAGGTACTACACAATATACACGCTTTATTTTCCGCTATCCAAAAACCCTCCTCCATCAGAACGGGGGCTGCTTCCAGCGGTTTCATTGTATAGCAGTATCGCCAACGGGGAGCAGAGGGCTTCCATTGCAGTAATGGACGCAGAACGTGGTCAGCACTCACACACTCATCACGAAACGGTTGCTTTCCAAAGTCGACGACGCATCGACCGAAAGAACTGCTGATGAAGAACAATGAGGAGGACCACACAGACGATCGCGTGACACACATCTAGAGTGGCCTGCTTCTGTCGACAGCCGAGTGAACACTGTTTCATAAATGTGATGCTTGCAGATAATTTCACTGTTTATTCATAATGTTATAATAATGGAGGTTTTATGGTGGTGGGTTTTGCATTAGGAAGAGTGCCATGTTTCCTGTTTATGTGTTTTATGTGGTTGTGTATATTTTTCCTTTTATTTCTGTCGAAATTTTCCAAAATTTATTTAAAGTTTTGTTGGTGCTCCCATGGTGAATGTATTTGGTGAGCTTGTTCCAGTTAAAAACAATCCGTTTGTTTCCTGCCGGGATAACATGGATTGCGCATGATCTATGTTGAGGTTTTAGTTACAACATAAGAAAAACGATGCTGTCGGTAAGGTGTGCATCCGAGTGCAAGAACATAGAGGGTGGAACGACCAAAAATTGGTCAAATATAATTAAGTGCACACTGATTATGTTATTGTATAAATGATCAAACTGTATTTATTTTTGAAGTTCAAGGGCTACAACATACAGGAATATTAATGTATTAGGCTTCCAACTGACGTTTAACATCAGATTTTGTAGTGCTGTTATATCAACCTTATTTGATGTTGAACGATTTGCTTTGAACTGTGTCTCAATTCCAACTTTTTCTGAGTTTTCTTGAGGTTTCGATTAGTGATTTTCCAATATTTTTAACGATCGCCCATTATTTTTTAAGCGGAATGCTAAAATAAAATAGCAAAAAAGGTTATCTTCCATTTAATT